GTTGGTAAATATGTGTTGGTTTATTTGGATGATATTGTGGTATACTCGGAGAGTCCCGATCAACATCTAAACTACTTGCAGAGATTCTTGGAGCGATTCCAGTCTTACGGTCTGACGTGCCAACCGGAAAAATGTACATTCGGGATGGCACAGATCAAATTCCTAGGTCACGTCGTGGACGGTGAAGGAATAGACCGGAAACGGAAGAAACTGACGGCAATTCAGGAATTACCGCTTCCAAAGAAGACAAAAGACGTGTTACGGGTGTTAGGCGTTTGTGGTTGGTACAGTCAGTTCGTGCCACACTACGCCGAGATCACAGCACCACTCACGAGTCTGTTGGCAAAAGGGACCAAATGGCGTTGGTCAGAAATTGAGCAAGAGGCGTTCCGGAAGTTGAAGGAGTCTTTGGTGTCCGCACCACAGCTCTGCCCTCCTCTTCCGGGTAAGCTAATCTACAGACCGACGCAAGCGAAGTCGGAGTTGGTGCCGTGCTCTTTCAGCGGGGGGAGAGTGGTGACAGGAAAATCATTTCCTAGGCCAGCAAGAAACTCAATCCAGCACAGGTAAGATACTCGGCAGTCGAACGTGAATGTCTAGCCATAGTTTGGGTGGTTGACAGGTTCAAGCCGTATCTTGAGTCTGGTAAGTTTATGTTATTCACAGATAACGCGGCACTCCGATGGTTACAGCAAGCTCGCTGTACCAACAGCAAACTAACGCGATGGGCGCTACAACTCAGGGCTTTCGATTTTGAAATCCGGCACGTACCCGGAGTAGAAAATTAAGCAGCCGACGCGCTATCTCGTTGTCCGGTGGGACCGAATACAGTGGACGAAGAATCGTTGGAGAACAATATCCACGATCCCCCAGTGATTCGGCCCGGAGTGTCCGGAGGAACTTTCGGAGTCTTCGGTGATCTGTCCGGCGTGTCCGGAGGATCCGGTGTGGGTGTCACCCAGTGTGGAGCGATCCAGCCGAAGAGGAATGACGGAAACGTCACATTGCAAGCTGTCCGAGAGTGGCAACAAAGCGACCCGAACGTACGGGAGATAGTTGCTAAACTCTCCGGAGATGGTGCAAGGTTCGGTCGGCTTCGGAAGTTGTAAGTCATCCGGGACAAGGTGTTGCACCGCCACTCTCGATCCATCGCACATGGTGAAGAGGGGGCGGTCGTCCCGGTATACAAGGCCCAGATTCTGCTACAAAGGTTTCACGACCACGAAGCAGCGAATCACCCAGGGTGGAAAGAAATGTACCGAAGTATAAAGAGTCGTTTCTTTTGGACCGGTATGCGTGAAGCAGTGCATGCGACGTCTGTGCACGTGTAAAACCACTGAATCGTAAACCAGAAGATCGGATATGCACGGCAAGAGAGTCCCACGGCAACCTTGGGAGGTGCTGAGCATCGATCTTATGGGTCCATACCCACGAACGCAGCGGGGTTAGACAACGATTTTGGTAGTAACTGATTGTTACAGTCGCTGGGCAGAGGCGTACCTCCTAGGAAAGGCGACGACCAAATCGATTGTGGATACATTCGAACGGAAGTTGTTCCCACGGTTCGGGTACCCGAGGGCATTATTGTCAGATAATGGCCCGCAGTTCGTGTCCAAGGCAATGGGAGACGCACTAAAGAGGTGGGGAGTGGAAGGATGGACGACTCCAATATACCACCCACGTGCCAACCCGGTAGAAAGGCAAAATCAAGAGCTGAAGAAAGGGTTCCGAACCTTACTTGTTGATAAGCCTCATCATCTGTGGGATGTCTACCTGCCGCACGTGTTGTTCTCCGTAAGAAACAGAGAAAACCGAAACACCGGACAGTCACCGGCCAAAATGATGTTTGGCCTTGAGATCAAGGCCAGCGGAGATTGGCAGCTCGAGTTGGCCGAAGGATCTCCTTACGCGGGCAAAAATGATCCGGAGTTGTCCGAAGCAGTGCGGAACCCTCCGGTAGAAATCGAAGATTCTCCGGTGGAACCGGATGATGCTGCTGTGGTAGAGGGGGGTAACCCGGTGGTCTCCGGCCCCAAAGCCCCCAGTACCCATATACCCCTAGAATCCCCGGGAAGAAGTAATCTGTCAGTAGGGGATTGGGTATACTACAAAGCGCATCCGCAGTCAAGTGCGGAGAAGCGTTTTCACGCGGGGTTCGCCCCGAAATGGTTAGGTCCGTTTAAGTTGGGTAAACCACTAGGAACCGGAGTGTTCTTGACGGAGGGTAAACACCCTACTAAGTTACATGTCTCGGTGATGAAGCGAGCTGTAGGACCGTCAGAGAACACTAACTAATCATACCTTCTTTCAGATGGCAGAACGCTCCAATAACGCGAACCCGCCACCAAACCGCAACAACCGGCCATTCCGCGGCATGATTGCCGCTCACGTGGAGAAGCTGCGAGCCGTGGCTGGGCAGCTGCTCCGAGAAGCCAGGAGGCTTTCCGGGGATCGACCGGAGGATATGGTGAGCGGTTGGTCGGCTGAACGCGCGGCCACAGAGTCATTTGGCCGGATCTGGATCGAGCGGGGGTTCCCCGAGGGACGTCGGTCCACGCGGGCTAACACCCCACAGCCAGAAGTTACCAGGACTTGGGCAGGACCTTCCGGGAGGGCACCACCCCGCTGAGCGGCGCCGGTGTACCAACTACACGATGAGCGGGATAGACGGGGGCGGTTCCAGCCTCAGCCCGCAGTGCAGCCACCAGCAGAACCACCGGTGCAGCAGCCGACCCAGCCATCAGCCACGCCGCAACCGTTAACTCCGCCAGCCGACTCCCAGGAGCGACAGCTGGCCATGGTGGAGCAATGGATCGAGTCCATGGAGGTGACCCGGAGTAGTCCGGTTGCTCGGGCGCGTCTCGCGGACTCGGCGGGGGAGTATGTCGCGGTCGTTATCGCAACGACCGCGGTGTCTCTATCGACGTCCGCGAGATCGCGACCGACTACCGGTCTGGCCGCCGCCTGCGGCACGGCCCCCGGCCCGGACAGCGGCGGTGGTGACGGGATCATCTCTCGCCGGATCGTTGTCAACGCCGCACGCATCTTATTTAATAATATTTTAATAATATTACCTGTGCAATATACATCTTATTATTACCTACTTAACGTGTTCGTTGTCGTTTGTCATCTCAAACCGTTCCTACACCTACAACTGGATATTCACTCGATTTCTCATGTAGTGATTTTCTTATTTTGTTGTGATTCAAAAACGAATAACTGTAGTATATGAAAATTTCAGAGAATGTTTATTTTATCAATTCTTATACTTGATAAAGTTTTCAAAATACTTTGACTTGTTTTGAGCTATTGACGGACAATTTCATATTTCAATTTTTTTTAGTTTTTTTTTCAATAAATATCAATACAATTTTATCTGTTTGGCCAAAAAGTGTAAAAATTTGATACAAGTCTCCTGATATATTGAGACAATATCAATTGAAAAATATTAAAAATACAGGTTCATATTTTTTTTTATACGCATTTAAAGATCAAATTTTGACAAAATTTATCAAAATCTCGAAAATTATCAATCATTGTAATTAAAAAATTATAAAATGTTCAACTTTTATATCTAAGGATTGAAAATTTAAAACAAGATTCCACGTTAGTAGTTTATTCTGTTACCAAAAAATCTAAAAATACATAAGCACAGTTTATTTTTATTGTCATTTTAAGTTCAAATTTGGATGAAATTACATTTTAAAAAACCTAGAATAACTATTTTAGTTATTTTGTTGTGGTTGTATAATATCATTCTTAGTTTACTTGAAACTTCTAGTGTATACTACTTATATCTATGATAGTAATATAACAGTTTGTTATCGATGTATAACACGTTATATTAAAAAGTATAGGTACTTATAAAGTACCTAATGGATATTGTGATATGGTTAATTTGTATATTAAACTATTTTGTATTAAAAAACAGTCACAACCATGTACTTGGATAAGCTGTCTTCGGTAAAATGTTGATGGTTTGGACAATATTTTTGTACTCAGAAAATGATCTTTTTACATCCACGGAAGTTAGCGGGGCGGACTGACGAACAATTTTTAAGCTAGTATCTACGCATTATGAATATACATATTTTAATCTATAGGTAGGTAGTACCTAATGGTGCTTTTATAAAAATTAAATTAACTGACCATACCATATACCTACTTGATAAAGTATTTAATGATATCGATAAATATCGCCGATAGTAAAACCCATTATAAATAATTGACAGACGACAATGCACATGTCTTCAGAAAATCTTATCGAATTGTACCGTTAAAGGTGCGATTCCTATGCACGCGTCTAGAGACGCGCGGCCGACGCGGCGCGATTTAATTTTAGCCACGCAAGTACTACTTTACTTGTTTTTAAATATAACCGATTCCTTTGACCTTCGAGGGCAGTCAAATCGCACGAGCCGCGTGACTATTCATATTTTAATTTTCAAAGTTCGAAATTTCGTTAACACTGTGTGACACAAAATGTCAAAAGTGTCATTCACAGTAGAAGAAGACATACTATTGGCTGAATTTGTAAGAGAACATCCATGTTTGTATAGCTGGATTTAGACGGAGATGATTAGGCAGAGTTTTAGAACGTGCCGGTCCATCTCGTGTAATATTGGAGAGGATGGAACGAGACGTTCCATCATCTGGTATTTAAAAATTAACCAAATGACTATCACGCGTGATAGGACCGCACAAGATTTTTCCACACGATTGATTGTACATGACAATCATTTGCTAATTTTAACTACCAAATGATATCACTCGCGATGGAACGAGCATTTGTAACGTGAAAGGACAAAACTGTCCATGTGAATGAGGTTTACACATGATTATATAAATGATCGAGTGTCCTCCAGTCATTTTAAAAATTAGACCACTTTCCTCTGAAAATTCAACTGAGCACGTGCTTTTATTTTATATACGTATGCGTTATTATATTTTTTTACTCAAATTAAGCTGTTCGAGTGTAGAGAGAAATATAATAGTTTATAATGTCATCTATAAGAAGAAAGAAAACAGTGCTAGGATATGCCGGTGTTTATTATCTTTACATGAACATGTTGAAAGCCCGAACTCCGAGATCAGTATGGATAAAAAATTGGATGTCGGATAAAACCAAATTCGGGCACTTACCATTACTCCAAGAACTAAGAACTAATAATCCAGAAGACTTCATAAACTATTTGAGTATTGATGGTACTACATTTGATCACTTACTGAGTATGTTAAGATAACTATATGGTTTTTATTTTATCATCCAACATTTTGTTTTAACAACTAAAATGTACACCTAGGTTTAATTGGGCCACTTATACAAAAAGAAGATACTGTTATGAGGGAATGCATACCACCAGAACAACGATTATTAGCAACTCTAACGTATACGCGTATACTTATTTTACAAAATTGAGCTTAATATATTGCAGTACCCCCTTTAAGCAAAGCTTGTTCTGGGGGCACAGTTCTTAGATAATAAATATATAACAAAGTTAATATTGATGACTAATTAATTAATAGAAATAGGATTTTCAAAAAAGTAAAAATGTATAACAATGTTAATACGATTGGTAATTGGCAAATACATAAGTATTAAAAGAGGAAAACAAATATTATAAATTTAAAAAATAAAATCAATAATAATAATAATATTCTACATAGCTATAATTGGTAATATTTTAAATGAAAAATTTACAAATTTGATAAATTTAATTGTTTTATATATTTTTTGAATAGTTTAACATCTTTAAAATTGTTTACATTGATATTTAAAGAACGACATAAATATAAGCCCTTATATAAAATGCTTCTTCGACCAAATACTTTATTAAGATTTGGTACTAGTATATTAATATTTTGTTTATATCTAGTGTTGTGATCATGGTCTAATGTAGGAATTAAGTTTTTTTGTTTATATACATCAACTAGAACTGATAAGTTATAGTTAAATTTAAAATTGCTTACATTAAATTCATTATAAATCAATTCAGTGTTAGTATTCATTGGTAAATTTAGCAAGAATTTTATAATACAATTTATTGTAACAATAAGTTTTGTTAAAATATATTTAGAAGCTCCACCCCAAAGTGATATGCCATAAGAATAAATTGATTGTACGAGTGATAAAAAAATAATTCTTTTATAGTATTTATTAAATACATATCTAGCATCTTTGAAGAAATAGAAGAATTTACGTAGCATGTTATTTAAGTAATTTATATGACTTTCCCATTTAAATCTATAATCAATAAGTATCCCTAAATATTTTATTTCCTGTACTTTTTCTAGTATAATACATTTTGGATCACAAACATTATTTATAGTTAGTTATTTTGTACTAATATATTTGATGGTTGCTGTTCAAAACAAATATATTTTGATTTCATAAGATTTAATTTTAATTTATTTTTACAGAACCAAGCATAAACAGTATTTAATATTTTATTTGCTTCATTAATATAGCAGAATAGCTGTGTCATCGGCGAAGCTTAATAATTCTGTACTATCATTTATTTTCAATGTTAGTAGATCATTTATAAATATGATAAATAATAAGGGACCAAGTACAGCGCCTTGAGGTACACCACAAGTCACATTTAGATCTTCACTAGAATATTCATAACATTTAACTCTTTGAGTTCTACCACTAAGAAAAGATTTAAATAGATTATTTGACACTCCACGTATACCCGAATTTTCTAATTTTTTTAGTAGCAATTCATGGTTAACACAATCGAAAGCTTTTTGTACATCCAAAAATATACCCATAACTTTATTACTTTTATCTAAGTTACTTCTAACAAAATTATCAACTTTATACAGAGCATCATTAGTTGATAAGCCAGATCTAAAACCAAATTGTGATTTTGAAAAAAAAGATTTTTTTTCTAAGAAGTCAATTACTCTAAATTTAATACATTTCTCAAGGACTTTTGATAAGGTTAAAGATAATGAGATTGGTCGGTAATTACTGCATAATAATTTATCACCCGATTTGAATAAAGGTATCACAACACATTTTTTAAAAGTTTTAGGGTAGATACCAGTTGTTAAAAATTTATTGAAGATAATTGATAAGGGAAAAGAAAATGAAACCTTTTTGAGTATATAATTCGTTAGATCATTTTCAAAATATGAATTATTATTTTTAATTTTATTAAGGAGTTTACTAATTTTGCCTTTATCAATTGGTTTTAAAAATATACTATCATTAATAATATTATTATTCTCACTAGGAAATAATGTATATGGATTTAGTTTCTCAACTTCTAAATTTTTTCCTACATTGACAAAAAAATCATTAAGTTCATTACATATCTCAGTTGTTTGGTTTATAGTAATACCACCTTTATTCCTTATCATGTTGATATTATTCTTAATCTGGTTCGGTTTTCCAATGACCTCATTTATTATATTCCAAACTAGTTTAGAATCAGACCGAGCATGTTTTAATTTATTTTGATAAAATATTTGTTTAGATTGTCGTACAATTTTATTTAGTATATTTCTATATAATTTATAGTATTGCTTTAATTTAATATCAAAAGGCCTGGATCTTATTTTAGCAGATCATTTTTCCCTATTTCTAATAGAGATAACAATTCCAGTAGTAATCCATTCTTTTAATTTGCGAGTTTTATTTGATTTGTAAATCTTATATTTATAAATAGATGAGTATTTTATAAATTCATTTATTTTAGTATTGAAAACTTCAACCATATTATCTACATTGTCACAGTTCAAAAGAGCATACCAATCTTCAGTTTGAATTAATAAGTTTAAATGATTAATGTCATTTTATTTGAAAATAATTTATTATGATTGTAACTTTCGTTATTATTAATATTTGATAAGGTCAAAATTGTAGCATAGTGATCTGTAATATCGCACCTTAAAATATATGAATTAATTTTATCTGAATCTTTTTTATTAATAAAAATATGATCAATGCAAGTTTTCGAGTTATTAGTCACTCTAGTGAAATTATTTATACAAGGTATAAATCCATTTCTCGCCATAATATTTAAATAATCATTACTAATATTTGTGTTCTTCGTTATTAATATTAATATCTCCACTAATAATATTTATATGTTGTTTATTTATTTATGATAAGAAAAGGTCTATACCTGTTAGAAAAGATTCCAAATTATCATTTGGCGATCTATATAATATGCATATTAGTGAAAATATTAATTCAGTTATTTTAATTATGAGTTGTATTGAATTACAATTTAATAGGACTTGTTTTTCAATTTTCAATATATTTATTGATTCTCTAATTAAGACAGTAACTCAATCACTCTTGTTTAAAGTTCCTAACGAATTTATAGTTGTGTAACCATTTAATTTTAATTCATAATCATTTAAAAGCCATGTTTCGCACAATATAATAATATTAAAATAATTTTTCACTGAACCTAATAAAATAGTCAGATCATTAAAATACGCACTAATACTACTAATATTGATTTGAAAAATCGAGAAGGTATTATCAAGTAATATGATACCAGCTATAGAATCTACATAATTTGATTTAATGTTATTTAATTTTAACAGATGATCAATATTTGATAAATTCATATTCATTTAGTTTAAATTGTATATATTATTAGTAACGGTATTAAAATTATATATGGAATAACTACAAATTATTGATGTCTTGAGATGACTTGATTCTTACGATTTTTGAGTTTTCATTTTTCCTCACAAGAATATCTCCATTGGACAGCCAGACAAATTTATATTCTTTTGTTGTAGCAGCAACTTTCGTTTGATAAAAAAGTGTTCTTCTGAGTTTCGTGAGTCTCTCATTCATATAAATATTTTCTTTGGGCCAACCATTATTCATTTTGTCAGCTGTTAATTTATTGAACTTTACATTGCGAATTAAATTTTTTCTCATTTTAAGTGTAGCTAACTTTGCTACTATTAAACTGCGTTTAGATATAGATGAGTTTATTCTATAGGCCTCAATAACATCAATTGTAGTATTTGTTTTCTTGCTAATTTCTTCAACAATTAGTTTACAGTTTTCATTTTGAGTTTTCGGTATACCAGTTATATTCAGTGATATTCCTAAGTTGTTCTGTTCTATTTCATCAATTTTTGACTTTAATAAATCGACTTCTTCCGATAGACGTTTATTCTCTGTTACAATTTTCTGGTTTTCACTTTTAATGTTTTTTAATTCAATCATTACATTATCAAGTTTGTTATTAAAATTATCAAACTAATCACTCATAAACGATACCGACTTCATAAGTTCATTTATATTATCTTCCATTGAAGTACCAATCTTTATTTCGGCAGCGTTTGATTTTGGAGACTTGCTTGTAGTAGTTTTGCAGTTTGTACAGGTGAATCTACTTTTTGTGTTGTTCGACATTTTCTTAAAGCTTTGCTCAGAATATCCAACACAATAAAAGTGAGCTATATCTTTGCATATTGAACATTCAAGTGTAACTTCATTATGTTTAAGTTTTTCTGGCATTTTACACACGTAGAATGCATTTTAAATTGATTATTTAATATTATTTGAAATAAAAGTAGAATATACGACAGTAAAACAATTTAGTTTGATATCCTATTAATTTTAGACGGTAACGCACATATTAGATAAAGTTGTTTATGTAAGAAAACTGAGATAACGGAGCATACGAAATAAACGACTATCCGTGACAAAGTCTGGATAAGAACTAAAATAAAATGTACAGTTCTAAAATGCTAATTGTGCAGTACTTACTGCTACCTACCTATTTTAGCATTGTAAAACAATAACTAATATACTATAGGTATTAGTATATATATATAATGTATGATGTATATATATTATATAAAAGGAGTAGGAAACTAGGGACGGGATCATCGACAAAAAATAAATAAACAAAATGGGCCTTGGCAGATACACTATCGTTTATGGACGTATGTTCTTACGAACGAACGTGAGTAATAATATATTAAATACATTGTACCTAAAAACCAATTCATCTTACAGTTATAGAAATGGTATTCGGAAAAAAAAGCCTTAACTAATTTGTGCACAGTTACATTTTTTTAATTTTTTTAATTTTTTAAGGTTTTTTAGGGCAATTATTGCTTATCGCGGGACGCTAATCTGCGCGACGGCGACATCTTCCTTCCTCTTCGGTCCACTCATCCCGTATCTCATGCCGTTACTATTGAACAACGATTATGATAATTATTAAATAATGGTACGATTGTTGTATTTTATATTGTATATTCTCTTTGTTTTTCTTATAAAAATTATCTGTCGGCCTTTTGCCTCAGATTAAAATGTTTGTCGATGTTATCTCTATGAGATAAAAAAGTTCGTTATTATTATTATTGTTGCGGCCAACGCCCTTTTGTATTATTATTATTATTCAATTTTATTATTATTCGTGTTTTTTGGTCCGCTATTACAGCGTCCATACGTTTTTTTGGTTTATATACTGTGTGATCCGCTCATATAGCGATCAATATTATTATTAATATAAATAATTTTTTGTTGTGATCTGCTACTATAGCGATCCGTGTATGGTGTGTGTGGTCCGCTAGTACAGCGAGTAAAAAATATATTATTTTTTTTATTTTATATTTCATGGTGCACACGGTTGCCGATTATTACTATAATTATTTTTTATTACGTTGCTGTGTGTCACTAAACAATCTGAAAACCAATAAAAAATACGATCTTCAACAAAATTGGTAAGTCTCTACTTATTATTATCACCCTTGGCAGCCCGTTGTTGTCAACGTCGGTGCCGTCAAATTCCGCGCGTAAGTCCGCCAGCAACGTAGGTTAGGAGAGGCCACCCCAGGTCGTCCAGGTCGACAAATGCTAACAGCGTCAATCCGGGCGGCACCCGTTTCGCCCAAAATCAACCTTTCCCGTTTCGCCCAGATACCCGTTTCGACCAAAGTCATTTTAGTTGTTTTCAAATTAAGTTGGCAATGATTTTTAAATAATATAGTATTTTAGTATACCATATAATATTATGCACCTATTATAATTAACTATTAAAAAAAAAAAATTACATAATATTATAACATATTACTATTTTCTACTAAAATTAAGTTATATTCAATAATCAGTTATTTATTTTTTTACATACAATACAGGCATTTTCCCAATTTAAATTAATATTTCAATAAAAACTTTTATTCTAACTCTCCATCAATCATAAGTTGGTTAAATATTATACGCAATGAGATCCAGACAGAAACGTATATCAAAATGAAAAGTGTTGAAATTCCCAAAAAAACAAAAGACAGAAAGACGAAGGAAAGACAAGAATACAACGAAAAACGTATACTTTTATATAGATCTGGCGAAATTACTAGGTACGAATTTGTAAAAAGCATGTGTAGAAATTTTAAAAAAGAAAATTTAATAACTTAACTTAATTTTTATAAAAAATAATAATATATTATATTGTGTAATGCTTTTTTTTTAAATAGTTTTTAGTAGACAATAATATTTGTATAAATGTATAATATTGAGTATGTATTTTTTAAAAACTTTGGCAATGACTACAAAAATAAAAACTGGTAATTTGTATTATAATTTTTAACTGTAAAAATGTATTTTTAAATAATTATACTAAATATTAATTTAAATTGGGAAAATGCCTGTATTGTATGTAAAAAAATAAATAACTGATTATTGAATATAACTTAATTTTAGTAGAAAATAGTAATATGTTATAATATTATGTAATTTTTTTTTTTTAATAGTTAATTATAATAGGTGCATAATATTATATGGTTTACTAAAATACTATATTATTTAAAAATCATTGCCAACTTAATTTGAAAACGACTAAAATGACTTTGGTCGAAACGGGTATCTGGGCAAAACGGGAAAGGTTGATTTTGGGCGAAACGGGCCGCGCCCGTCAATCCAGTGGGTCATCTCAAGACTGCAGTAGGGTTAAGGTAGTTTTAAGTCTTATCCCTATTGTTGTGAGCTCTGTGGTCATTGCACCCAGTGGCGTGGCGAACGGTAATTTCAGAGGCCTTGGCCTCTGAAATTTTTCTTAAATAGAGGGGTGGGTGGTAGCCAGTGGGTCCCCTAGTAAATTGAATATGATATTCTCAATAGGTAGTCAATAACGATCTGAAATATAACTTGTTATATTACATTAATACATTATTATGCATAAATACTTGGGATATTTGTAACTGGCCTCTGGAAAATTTTTAGTTCGCCACGCCACTGATTGCACCAAACCGAATCGGCCACAGAGACCCCCTCCCCATAACTAGCCTGCACCATCCTCACTCCGACAAATAGGTCTTTCGCATCCTCTTCGTTGTCGTCGTCGTGCGTAGAATTGCCTACCCACCAACCATCAGGCGAAAGCACCTAAGGTTGCCAATCAACCACAATAGTAGGAGGTAGGAGTGATACAGGCAACGTCTAACACCCTCCTCATCAACAAAATTGTTCTCGGGCATCACCGAGTGGTCCTTCGGCTATTACGGTTGAACTCTCGGGCGTAAACAGTTATATACAAATGACAATAACTATTTACCTTTAAACATTTTTTTAAATTCCATATATATAAATGACAATTATTTACCTTTAAACATTTTTTTTAATTATGTACAAATGTCAATTATTGTCAATGTAAAATGCAGATTTCAGCTATACTCGTATACTTTATAATAATTAATTAGTACATAGTACATTAATTAATACATAATACATAATATGTTACCTATTAAACTATTTATTATTTATATTTTGATTTATGGTTTATGTTACATGATTTTTTAACTGTGATATAATTAGTTATTGCTTAATGTTACCTATAACTAGATGTAATTTTTTTTATAGTATATATGTCTAGTACAATAAATATTAAATCGGGGGGTCATTCGCGAATGAATATTTTGTACACCAGAATTCCTGTTTTAAAGACTTCCCAGACTTCCTCAAGAATTTCCAGACTTCCTTATGAATTAATATAGAATTTCAGGACTTTCCTTTACATATTTTGACATCATTGAAAATGTTTAACTAACCTACCTTATATAATATTTCTGCAATCATATGTATTTTATAACAATAATAAATTATTGTATAATTACTGGTAGATTTATGGAAAAAGTTAACTACTGCTGTTTAATTACTGTTTATTAATATTTTTTTATGATAACAAGTTTAACTGAAATAAAAATAAATATTTCTTATATAAATTATAAGGTATGTACCTATAATGAAAAAAATAACTTAAGTAGGTACTTATAATGAATAATACAATACAACATAATAATAATAATAAACCATTCATTAGACAATAGTATTTAAATAAAATAAACTAAGCTAGATATTATAATAATTGTAAAAAAAAAAACAAATACTTAATGTACCTATAGTTAATACATTATTTGTTATTTCTTTTGATTTGCTTATACAAATTGTTTATTTTTAAGAAATCAATTATTTTTATCTTGAATTCCCCACAGCCTGTCATTTCAATAGGTCCGTAAAATATAAATTTAGGATCAACTAATTCAACTGATGGATTTCTTGGCCATACAAAACTATCTAGTTCTGCTTTGAGGAATTTTATTGTATACATATTATTATGAATTATGATCAATTCCTATTATACGACCAATGTACCATGCTAAATTATACATTACAGCATAATATTTTTCTTTTTCAATTTCTATTTTGTGACTTTTATTTTTTTCATCGTCAGAACTTTCGGTGTCAGGGCTGTCGTGTAATGAAAAATTAGACTAATTTGATGAATCATCTTCAGATAACGGTGTCACGGTATGTTTATCTTGGGGGTTATCTTTAAAAACACTTTTAATGTGAGGTTTGGTGTTAACAAAAAATCTTCGTAGTCTGTCAGTGCTTATCCGATCTTTATTGTTTTCCAAAAGCCAACACAAAGAACTTTTTTTTATAACTACTTCTATTGATGGAGATAAACATAAACATACAAATGGACTATCAGTAGATAAGTCAATTTCACCTAGTTCTTTTGAATATTCCTTTAAGTTTAGATCTTTAATTCTTGTTTTATCATTACTGTCCAGCCCTAGATAGGTGGTAAGATCAATCTGTGAAGCATTGTTTAATTGATTGAATTCATCTGTATCCTGGTCTAATAATTCCTGATCACAATTATTTTTTTCTGCAACCATGCTAGTGCATTTATTAATATATTCATTTTGAATATCATCATCACCCTGATCATCGCTGTCATTATCACTGTTATTTTGTTCTTTATCTGGTATTTTATAATTTGCATTTTTAGATTTTACTGTAATCCAACTTTGAATTGTTTTGGAAATTGAGTGGTCAACTAGCATGCTCTCTTCCATTAAACCCATACTTGTAACAAGTAATTGTATATCTAGTAAACTTTTTTCAACTATTTCTTGTACACGGATGTCTGACATTGATTGTAACTCTTCGTTGTTCCTTAACTGTTTATTTTTATCTTTTGCTGTGCGGTGATTAATTGGAAAATTAAATTGTACACCAAGTTCATCATACGCATCATTTAGTTCATTATTTTGTGAGTTACTCAAGTCATTTTTAATAATATTTAGCATTTCAATTCTGTGTAGGCGATGTATTAAATCATACATACTAAAATGTATAACCGTTGAAAAAGTTGATGTTAATGATCGGGCTGACCGAAACAGTTTTTCGCAAGGTTGACTGTTCAGTAACCAGGGTACAAACATTTCTGCTTTGAGCCCTTGGTTATTATGGAATAAATGAATCAAACTAATTAATGAATGTGCATTAATTTCAATACAGCTTAAACAATTAGATGTAATGAAATTATTTTTCAATGAATAATCTTTTTTTTTTTTAATATCCAAGCTCTCCATATTCTAAGGAAAAAAACACTATACCATAATCTATAAATTCGATCCTCAATATTTAAATTAGGATCAATTAGAGAAGTTGTAGAATAATTCATAATTCTTAGGAAAGTTTTAGTTCCTAGACTGTTGGGAATATCAGAGAGTAAATCATAAATATGAGGCTCCATTATTTTTTCAGCTGCATTATAATTCATTTTATCTTCAGCTTTTAGGTCAGATGCAGTCAACTTATGTTTGTATTTTGTTTTTTCAGAAATCAGTGTATATAAATGTTCAACTGTGGCAACATGTTTTCCGATTATTAGTGTTATTTTTCTGTTTAGTAACCGTGTTCTTAATTTGGTAGCTATGTGTATAGAATCTTGTATACATATTTGGCCTTCATTAAAACTATTATTTTGTCCCATGTGATACCATGTCCAAGACCTATCATTTGAATTTTTTTCTGTTTGGTTGGAATCTGGATCTAAACTTATTTGTTAATTACAACTTATCTCCATGGCTTTAAGTAGCCGAGTGTCACCATCTGAAGAAAATCTCAATATATGTAATCCCTCAATATCAGCAAGTTGTTTCATTTTTTGCTATCGTTTTAATACATCTTCACATTTGAAACGGTTATCCGTTCCAAACATTGATACACAAAATGAATGATTTGTGTCTATTACTGGTTGAGCCATAACCGCATAGGCGTAATTAGCTTTAATACCAACAACAAAAAAATTTAAAATGTCTGGCAGATGTAGCAAAAAAAGAGTCTTGATTTGGACAATAAGGGACTGAACAAACCCAACTAATTTATTTGAAGTACTATCATACATAATTCTACCTGTAATGCGTGTAGCATCTTCACTTATACATATGTAACGAGGTAGATTACGTTCATCAATAAAACGTCTAAGCTCCTTGAACCTAAAGGACCCTTCTACAATGGTATCCCTTGTTGAATTAAAATACCGTAACAATGCAGATATAGATGGAAGACAATTTTTCATATTTATTGATAATGTTTGATACATCATAAGCCCTCCAACAAAAAATAAGTATAAATAAAATTTTTTTAATACTTCTCTATATCTATTATTATTTGATAAATTTCCTGAGTTACTGTTCAAATTATTAAGTGCAGTATTAGCTATTAAATTTATTAAAGAGGTTGTTTGTTTTTCATTTATTGAGAATTTTTCATTATTATTTTCTATAATTTTGCTGTTGTTAGATAAATTGTCAGAAAGCATTTGTTTTAGATTTAGATTTTCTATTATAATTTTTTCAATTTTGTTTATTATTGGATAAAAGTTTGTAATAAGTGGTTGTTCTAGATGATCTGTAAGTAAACTATTGTGTTGAGCTCGTCGGTTTCTTTCGGTTCTTGAATAATTTTTGTTCTGCCATTTAGTTTTTTCTGACTTTAGTACATTTGGAGAGATTTCTGGTATTCTGCCGATGGTATCTCCCCCAGAATGACCACTGCAATAATCAAAATCCAACTCCTCAGTAACAGTATTTTCTATCATAGAATTATTCAGGGAATTATTATTGCTTGAAGTGTCAGATGATGATAATGTTGTTGCAGGTATAGATGTAATTGTAGAAGTAGACGTTGAAGGTATGAAATAATCTTTTAAAGTGGAGAGCTGTGGTTGAACTTGTTTAACAAATTTATTTAATTTACTCACTTTATTATTTTTTTCGTGAGTTTTAATATGTCTGTGGTAATTACTGTAGATCCATCTGCTTGGGGAGTTACAATTTTTTGACAATTTCATTATTTTAATGCGATTCTTACATAAAACACATGCAATAAGTGCTATCAGTTCTCCATACTGATGTTCTTCATTAGAACCTACACTTACAATATTAACAGTAATAGTAATATCCAAACTTTCCGAACTTATATTTTATTCATGAAGATACGATACTTGAGAATTTTTTAAGTATTCTTTTAGCCAACATTTCAGAGTTGTGTGAACAGAGTTTTTTTCTTTTGATAGGTCGTATTGGAAACAAGTTGAACTTTGTAATGGGATTACGCAATTCATGTAAACGCTCATAATAACAAGAACCACTTATATGAAAGGCGGCCTTGTCGACCGCACCCAAAAGTGGTCATAGCTAGAATAGACGCTCCAAACCACTACAACTTTCCAAGGGCGCCTACATGCCACGCGCCGCTCAATTCAAAGGACGTCGCTTATATATATAGAGGCCAGGGCCCCAATACACATTAGATGTACCAGAGCCGCCAAGACCGAGTGAGCAGCTTATGCACCAGCCATTACACACATTTTACACGGAGATTATCAACTACTACAACGAGTCAACTCACGGCATTACAATTCACCACGCCTATATTAATTATTATTGGTTTTAATAAATTACAATTGATTTATATTTAAATTGGCTATATTTCATTGTAAAAGTACAACAGCTTTTGGATCCCTGAAGGGCCGTACGTAACAACTTGTAGATTCTGTAGCCAACAATGAATCATCCCCGGAATCATTTATAATTAAAGTATTCCTTTCTGAGTTATCTGGAACTAATTTTATGCGCTTGGAATCATATAACTTTTGAATTGAATGATTCTTTAATCGATTAGTAGGTGTTTTTAGAGGTCTTAGGTTTTTACAATCTTCTTTTTTCTTATTTTCTAATTTGTTTTTATAATAATTTGAGATAGCCAATAGTTTTCTTTTGAAACCTTCAAGTATCCTAAATTTTTGAATATTATTATTTATCCGGCAAAAGTTATTTGGCAAAGTTTCAGTATTAGTGAATGCATCTTCATCAAGTGTACCTACTTAATGTGAATGTATCATTAAATTCATTTTCCATAAAAATCTGTTTTAAGTTTTCAGGAATTTTAATACTTAGACGTTCTTCTGCTTCTTGGAAAGGGTCATCATATTTTTCGAAGATCCATTTTTAATTTGAAAAAGTTTTAATTTACGTCTAACGTAAAATTAAATGAACACAATTCAACTGAAAAAATAATATTTAAAAAGACATGGTGAACAACTGCACTTTTGTTAGAACATTGGTGATGGACGTGTGATGGATGATACAGTTTGTACTGTAGGGGTTACTGTATTATTATTTTAAGTTGAAAAAACAATTCTGAGCAAAGTTAAATAATAAGCATGTGTTTTATTTCTGTAATATATTTTTTGAACAGCTATAAAACAAATTGACCAACCAGATTTTTAGAAAAATTTGAAAATTATTTAAAAAAAATAAAGAACAGTCTTTAAATGAAATAAAATCTTGGACCGGAACACACCTCAATGTAGAACCAATAGCTTTTACGCTTCGCTCAGAGTTTAATTTTAACAAATTAATAATACTGAGTATTTATCAGATTTAATATTAAATCAGACATATATGATAAAATAAATTTCATTTTTTATACAAATACATGCTAGAGCAGAGGTCTATGACCGACGTTCAGTTCATCCCTATTATACAGCAGAGCGAGTTACCGATATTTTTACATTATGTCTGCATAGATTATAAAGATATCTATATCCTGGTCTATATGTATTATCTATGTATGTCTGTTTTATACAAATTCGGGTATAAATTATTACGACTTTTACTCGCGGGCTACATAAAGGTCACAGACCCCTGTGCTATTTAAGCAGTAACATTTGATATACAATCAATATAAAATATTTATTGTAGGCCATTGATTCTTGAAAAAATACTGTGATTTACAATAATGATTTGTAATAATAATAAAACTTTTTTTATTCTTTTGAACTTTATGGTATTAATAAGAAGTTATATACGGGGTTAATTATAATATATTTAAATAGGAATAGGTACCTGTAACGGATCAAAATTGCTTCCACAATCCACTTCACAAATTACAAAAGATGACATAGACTAAAAACGGACTATTATGAAATGATCTAATGCCGGGTTCCAAAGCGACGTAACTAACATCTGCCTGAACACGGGTCTGAACAAGTCTGAACATGTCTGTGTTTGGATTAAATTTGTTCACACTTGCAATCATCATATTATTTTGGTCGAAGCAACATTGTACGTTCAAACAAAACATGAATTTCAATTGCATTTAATTCATATGAAAATTAATGAACTATTGTAATTTCAGAAGCCCAAAGAAGTTATGTTTTTTAGAAACAAATTTAATTAAAATTATAAGTATACAATTTTTTGTGTTAAGCAACAATGTAAAGTATTCAAAAAAGTTTTTTGTAATTCCTAGACTTCCTTTAGAATTCCTAGACTTCCTACAGACTTCCTAAGGAATTCCTAGGCTTTGTACTCCGACTTCCCTTCGCGAATGACCCTTGTATTAAATTAAATACATACCTATTAATATAATAATTAATTTAATAATTAATAAAAAACAATTGTTAACATCAATGATTAACACTTTAACAGTTTATTAATTTACAAAATATTAAACTAGTATTTTATAATATTATATATTTTATGGTTATAGATATTATGTTAGTGTGTTGATAAATGTAAAGATTATATTATGATTATATTTAATTATGTAAATCATAAAAAAAAACAATGTATTTGTTGGTACGGGGCTTTTTTTTCCAATGAATGTTGTCCGAGGCTTTATTTTCCGGGGCTTTTTTTTCCTAGATTGATAGAAATTGCCCATTAATAATAATTATGGTTCGAAATTAATGCACCTATGCGCTTAAAATAAAACAAATATGCTTTAAAAATGTACAGTTATTTTTTTTTCTCACAATTTTATAATTTGTACTAAATATTTATTATAAATAACACAGAACTAACTATTTTTTGTTCATTTATTATATTTTGAAGAGGACTGACTAATTTTAATTCTACGGTTGAAATGAACATTAGTGAAGAAGAAGATAGCTACTTAGAAGTAACTATTGACGATGAAAATAATTCAAGTGATGAAAACGATGTTTCACATAAGTCTGCAACAGAAAAAACTACAGTTCAGGAAACTGAACCTGAAAATAATTTGAAAACAAAAAAAACAAAATTATTAAAAGAAAAAAGGCCTACTAAAAAACAAAAACAAAATGAAGAGTTAGTGTCATTGTTCAAAAAAAGTAATGACGAAAGACAACAAATTATAAACGCCATTAACAAAGTTGAGGAAGATGATGATCCCATTGATTCATTTTTTAAAACAATGGCATTAACAGTAAAATCGTTTCCTCAACATTTGAAAATAAAAGCCAAAAAAGAAGTGTTCAACATAATTACGGATTTGGAAATAGAAAATAACAGCACTACAACGACATCAAATAGAAATATTCAGTCAACAAGTAGCTTATTTTCATCTCCATATCCTAGCATACAATCATCGTCAAACTCAGGATTTTCAACACATGATCGTCCGAGTCAATATGTTTTTCCAGAGACTACTGATCGTCAACCTGGAAATTTGACTGAATCGCTTGGTGATAACAATTATGAATTACTTCAGTACGACGATAGACAGTACGAATAAGGAAAATATGATAAGGTATTTTTATTTGTTATTTCAATAAGTAGGTATCTATTTTTATTTAATGGTTTATTATACAGTTACATTTATTTTTATTAATTCTATTAAATGATGAATTTTTTGTTTATTTTAAATATATTTTTACAACAATAATATTCGGGTGCGAAAAAGTAATATCATTCATTACTATTATTATAAATTCTTTGTCTTATTATATCTTTACAATTTAAAAACTATGTTTGATTTTATTTATGTTTATTTGTAATAATTTTTATTATGATGTATTGGCAAAGTTCATTTTTTATACTGCGTTATTATTTTTTATTAAACGAGAAGTTAAACACAATTAATTATGAATAAAAATGTTTTTATACACATCATTTAAAAATTAATATTACCTAGGTATAGGTACTATTAAATATAAATTATACTACAAACATACTGGGTGATTCTTTTATCAAACAACACTCATTATTTCAAAAAGTGTACATTTTTTTGAAAATATTTTTTTACATAGTTTCAAGTCGCTTCTAAAACAACGTTTTTATTAAAAAATTATATTTTTAAATATTTTTTAAGTTTTTTACTTTTTTGAATAACAACATAGGGTTTTAATTTTATATTCCAAAGCAGAATATTTTTCTTATTATTTTGATACATGAAAATCGAATTTGGGTTGAGTAGTTTATGAGTAATAAGTATTTAAAGTTTAGTCGTGAGGAGTGGAGTGGTTCGGGGTTACGGTTCCATGTCTTTACGCCGACGGTATCTACGCCGACGGTATCTACGCCGACTAGTATCTACGCCGATAGTAAATACGCCCATGGTATGTTTTTTTACAAAACGAATGTGTTTCTATGGGACTAATATAAGAATAAAAATTAACTAATATGAAACTGAAAATTTTGGAAAATTAATTATGTTATAAATAATTAAAAATAAAATACGTAACTCGTCGTTGCCTAGTTTTTTTAATAATAAATATTTTTTGGCTCTGAAAAGAACCTTTTTATGCCCTAAAAAGGACATTTTTTAAAACGACGAGTGCCCCCTAAACTTGGCCATTTAGCAAGATTGGGATTGAAAATTATGAGCATTTCCCTGCAAATAATCGGAGGTGTCGCGATTCCCATAGTCTTCAACGATTTCTTTAATTCGCAATGCTGTGTCTCGATAACACAGTTATGGGTATGTGTTTGTCTTCTTTGATTTTGTCCGTGGTATACACAAAACCTTTATTGATCAACTGTTGGTTGCCCTTCTGGCTTAAAACAAATTCAAGTGGCACGGTTGCTTTTGACTTCTTACAAGACCGAATGTTAGAATCGAACTGACCGACGAACCGGCCTTGGAAGAATGCTTCCTAAATTTAAGCTGAGCCTCTGGAATTGTTACGAGGCATCGTTGAATGATCTACCCAAAACTAACAACGCCGTTGAAGGCTGGCATCGAGGATTCAGCTCTCTTTTAGGAGCAAATCACCCAGCTGCAACATACCCAATGTTTTTGTCTTCTTTGATTTTGTCCGTGGTACACACAAAACCTTTATTGATCAATTGTTGATTGCCCTTCTGGCTTAAAACAAATTCAAGTGGCATGGTTGCTTTTGACTTCTTACAGGACCGAATGTTAGAATCGAAATGACCGACGAACCGGCCTTGGAAGAATGCTTCCTAAATTTAAGCTGCTATTTTTATAATTTTTTTTAGATTATTGTCGATAAAACTTCTTTTGTTCATTAAAAATACTTGAAAATGTAATACAAGGTTTCTAATAAGTTTTTGTTAATAGAAATTTTAAAAAAAAAGTTGAGTATAAAATTACAATATTTTTTTATGAGTGGCATCTGAAATTATAAAAGTAAAAATCACGAAAATGTGCAAATAATTAAGAATTAGAAAATTAGAAATTCATGAAAATGTATTTATTGATAGATATTTAAAATAAATATAAAACATACGTAGGAGCAACATTTTGTTATAAATAAGCATTAGGTACAATTTAAATATTTGACAAAATTCGTCAAAATCTCGAAAATTTGGTAATTATTTTGCTATTACAAATTTATAAAATTTTCAGTTTTTGTAGCTAAGGAGTGAACATTTAAAGCAATAGGTACCTCATAAGTCATAAGTAATTATCATACTGTCACCAAAAAATAAAAAAATATATAAACACATTTTTTTTTTATTACTATTTTAAGTTCGAATTTGAAAGAAATTACGAAATAACGAAGAATAATAAGTTATTAATAACGATCTTAGTTATTTTGTTGCGATTTAAAAATATTATTATAATTCAAGCTAACTGCAGATGGACATACTGACTCCACTTAAAATCTTTTTTAGTATACAATGACATTACCTACATGGCTATAATATATATATATCATCTAACCTTCCATTAGTGATCGAGCCACTTATACCTACTGTACGTCTGTAGCGGTATCCACTTGTCGCCTTTTTCAAAATATTTTCCCAATTTTTAAAAATAATTTATTATAATAATTTAGGATAGGCATGGAACGTTATAAAAAAATTAACAAAGGCAGTTTTCTTTAGTTGTATAATCAAATTTGTCATAATTTTTCAGATGGATACAGAATTAATTTGAGTTATAGGCACTACTATATTATTCGATTTACACATTTCCGCGGAAACAGTATTAACTTGACTATACTTGAGCTACGGTATTTTACATAAGTTCGTAATTCAGTAAAGTCAGTGAAAACTGATAAAATACAGAAAAAACTAAACATACAGTATTTTAAAGTATTATAAAATATTGATAATGACAAATAGCTAGTATCAAAAAAAGTTGAAAAGCAGTAGGTACCTATTAGAATTGTGATTTATAATTATTTATAATAATAAACAATCACCCTGAATAATCTTAAAAACTGAGTTACAGCCATTTTATATCGATGTATACCGTTACGATGTGTACATAACCTACTGCCACAAATCAAAATATATCTGACTATTAATTTTCATGTAGGAACTGACAACTGTATACCTACGTCTCTAAGTCCATATGAATATTATATATTTGATAAAATTCAAGGGCAGTGCCATATATTTTGATTTACATAATAGTTTAAAAGCACATTAGGCGAATATATTTTTAAGGTAAGATATTATTATCTAGGGCATCTCATAGAACTTTTTATTCATGCTGTTTCTCATGGACGCAGGACGCGTACCTATAGTACCTACCGGCTATCATACGCGTGCTGTGTTTCAGTTTACATTGTTTAGTTCATATGCGCCATTCCGACGAGGGAAATGTACCAATGTAAACTGAAACATGCGCGAACAGTAGGTACGCGTCCGCCGTTCATGTAAAACGGGCAAACTTATATTTAGGTAAAATGCTAATAAATAAAAATAAAATAAAGCATGAATTAAAATAAATATCAAATTATTGTGCTTATCTATTATTTTATTTATTATATTAAAATGAAATATAGTTGGAAAATCTTTTGTTACAATCAAACTGACCAGTATACTATACGTAGGTATTAATTGAATAGATATAATTATTGATAATAATGATAATTATTATAATATATAAATATAATAATACTCATTGACCATTGAGTATTTGAGTATATTTAATATTATAATCTGTTCAAAATATAAAAATACACCAGACGGCGGACAAAAACCGGTGAAACTCACGCATCACGCATATCGACCCGCGCTGTCCATCACGCCAGATTTACCCACTCCGGCGGTGACCGACGCTCGTAATCATATTATATTGCGGTTTGCCCGTCACAGGTCTATATTTATAACTATGGTCGATTTTTATTTGTTATTCGATTGAGTGTTATCTTCAATCCTGTGTAGTCAGTGATATAACATTTTAACCGTCAACTGCCGTCCGCGCGTCGGCACTCGCCACTCAGCCGCCGGTCTTAGTAACAGTGTATAAAATAGTATAAAATCGTGTGGATTCGACGACGGCTTATGTGAACATTTAAATGTTATTCCGTTTCATTTGGGCAAAACGAAATAAATTCTAGACTTTGTTTTTTAGTGTTGGATATTATTATAATGTATTACATAATATTGTAGTAAATAATAATTCTACATATTATTATATTGTTATCGTATCAACGGCCAACGGGTCGAGTATTGATTGCCGTCATACTGTCTTTATACCTAGTCCGACTATACGCCGTAGCCCGTAAGTATTTTATGTTTACTTAATATTATTATGTAGGTATAACTGTCCATTATTATGTGACATGAGTAGGTAATGATTTTTAAAAACAAAGTGTGGGTATAAACTATAACTTATTAAAGTTTTAATCATTCATTCGAGGATATCGCTACATCGCTAACCCCCTCAAATCTGCCACTGCCTCTTAATGGAAAATGTCATGGTCCTATGTGCGAGGGTGGTATATAGGCAGGTTTCGTTTTATTTTTTAGAGGTAGGTAGGAACCTATTAAGAAATCTTAAAAGATAGGTACGAGGATTGATTTATACTGGGATTTATATAGTACTCTACAGGGCCTAAAATTAAGATATTTTGCTACTGCACGCCTTATTCCACACCAAAATATTTTAATATAATGCACCTAGTAGTGCTTGCTTTGCTTTGCTTTGGGGGGATGGCTAAGCCGGGAAACTTTACCAGGCTATTGCCTCAACTAGTGGATGGATGTTTAGGAAGGTGGTTTTAAATTTGTTGGTCAGCCCATGTCAAAGGGTAGGGTTTGATTCTACACTTTGTGGATGGTGGGGTGTGAGATTTCCCTAAGAGTCAGATGTGGGCATGAGTAGAGAAAGAGTTTTTGTAGAACATCGATTTAGATTGGCTATGAATAGAATTTTTGATTGAATTTAAATTTGCTGATTTTAGAAGGACCAAATTTTTAACGATAGTGGGCATACCCGTTATCGTGCGAATGCCGATGTTTTGGACAGATTCGATGCGTCTCCAATGTGAGGGACCGATGAAAGGAGCCCAAGAGGGGCCAGCATAAGAAAGAATTGGAGAGACGTAGAGTTTTAGAATATTGAGCTTTGAAGATTTTGGGACAGGGGTAGAACGGTTGAGAATGGGGTAAAGAATTCCGCGGACTAGAGTGGCTTTTTTGGTGATGTCTTGAACGTGTTTGTCGAAGGTGAGTTTGTGCCCTATTGTAACGCCGAGGTATTTGGCATGATTGGACCAAGTCACTGGATGGTTGTCGAGTAGTAGTGGTGGGATGTGAGTAGTATTGGAACGTCCGAAAAGAATACCTATTGTTTTGGTAGGGTTTATTTTGATTTTCCAGCGATGAAACCATGTGGTAGCTAGGTTGAGTTGGTGTTGTAATTGTATGGCTGCACGTTTCGGGTTTTTGTCGAAAGTAAAGAACATAGTGTCGTCAGCGAATAGTGAGAGGTGAGCTTTAGGAGTTGTTGGTATGTCGTTAATGTAAGTCAAGTAGAGAGTAGGTGAAAGGCAGGATCCTTGAGGGACGCCTGCGAGTATGTGTCTGGTGGACGAGAACGAGTTTTCGATTTTTATGACAAAAGTGCGGTCAGTGAGAAAGGATTCGATGATTTTAACGATTTCAGTCGAGATGTTGAGTTGGGACAGTTTGTAGAGGAGACCGACGTGCCAGACCCAATCAAAGGCTTTTTCCACGTCAAGGAAAATGGAGGCGGTGTTAACGTTATCGTTAAAGTTCTGACTAAGTTGGTGAGTAAGTTTGGTCAGTTGAAGAGTGGTAGAGTGTTCAGGTCTGAAGGCAAATTGTTCTGGGCGAATTTTGTCTCGAAGATTGGTTTGAAGGTGAGAGAGGATGATTCGTTCGTAAATTTTTGATATGGAGGAGAGTAGAGCGATAGGACGGTAATTTTCGGGAAGTTTGTGATCTTTACCCGGCTTGGGGATGGAAATTATTACTGCTTTTTTCCAAGCACGTGGAAAGTAGCAAATTCTGAGGGAGCAATTTATAATTTGTGTTAACGAAAGTAGAATGTTATTCGGTAGAAATTTAAAAGCAGTGTTGGTGATGAGATCGTCACCAGGGGATTTCTTTTTGCGGAGGGTGTTTATGATTTTTTGGATTGTGCCAGGAGTGGTGAATAAATTAGATTTTGTGATATTTATGTTTCGAAGCGAGTTGGAGTGGGCAGAAACTTCTGGAAGGTCGGGACCAGGGTTTGGTTGGAATTGGAGTTCAAGAGAGTCGGCTATCAACTCGGCTCGATCGATGGCCGGAAAAACTAGACCGTTGGGGCCGGTAAGAGGGTGGGATGCAGGACGTTTGTGGAGGAGACATTTGTTTAGTTTGTATATGGAACCGTCCTGATGGTCAAGAGAATTAAGAAAAATGTCCCACTTGTCAGTTTTGTGAGTTTCGAGTAAAGTTCTGATTAATGAGATTTTGGCGTTAAGTTGACGTTTGGTAGTCGGGTCATGGTTTCTTTGCCATTGACGGCGTAATTGGTTTTTTTCAGTTTTTTCAAGTTTTATGTAGTCAGGTAGTAAAAAGGAAGAGTTTTTGTGTTTAGGGGTAAATACGCTAGATTCGATCGCGTGTTGTATGTTTTTGGTGAGAGTATCAATTGCCAAATCGATTGACTCACTGTTGATGGTCGGTCGTTCATTTGGGTTTGGTATGTTGGATATAATTGTCTTGTATTTTGTCCAGTTAATGAAGCGGTTAGTCGTTGGAGGGGACGATGATACCGGAGTACACAAGGTCTCCAGAAGGATAGGGTTGTGGTCAGAATATAGCTCGTTGAGGTTGTCGATTTGAGTGGGGTAAGGTAGTCGAACGAGTGCGATGTCAAGTATGTCAGGTCTGTATCTAGCGTTTGTCGGGAAGTGTGTGGGGGATGAGGGAGCAGTAATGGTATAGTCCGATTGTTGAACGTGATCAAAAAGTACGCGACCGGCAGCGTTTGTCGAGTGGCTATACCAGAGAGGGTGTTTGGCGTTGAAGTCACCTGCAGAGATTTGCCATTCGGCACTTTGGGTTAACAAGTCCAAGTCGTGAGACGTGAGTGTTGCACCTGGTGGTTTGTATACCGCTGATACAAGGACTTCGTGGCCGTTTAGTTGGATGAGGACAGAAGAGGTTTGAATGAGTGTGTTAAGAGTTATAGGTTGGTGAATGATGCGTCGGTGGATTAGAACAGCCGTGCCGCCGTGAGCAGGCGAGCCGCGGACGGGCGGCAGATCGTTCCTGTAAGTGAAGAAATTTGGAATGTGAAGTTTGGAAGAAGGGGGTAGACAGGTTTCATTAAGTAGAATTATGTCGGTTTTGAGAAGGAGTGCGAGGGAACGTAGTTCGTTGAGTTTGTGTTTAATGCCGTTGGAGTTCCAAAAAAGGATTTTTAAATTACTCATTTTGGGGAGAGAGAATGGACAGGAAAGTTTGGATAGTTGTTTGTATGAGTGTTTTGGGATCCTGGTTGTTTGAAAGTGCAGTCAGTAGGTTTGTGAGCAGGTTAAGTATTGATGCCAAGTTAAGTTGTGGGAGTGGGGAAGATGAAAGAGTGTGGGCTGGTTTGGAAGTAGCTGCGAAGTATGTCAGTGTAGTGTTTTGTGCGGGGGGAGGTGATGGTGGAGTGGTTGAGATTGGTTGAACGGATTGTTGACTAACGGGGTTTTGGGTTGAGGATGGAACTACTTGTGGTTTTTGGGCCAAGAACTGGGGGCAGCCACGGAAATTGGCGGTGTGCGAGCCACCACAGTTGCAGCAAGTCGGGGGTTGATCAAAAGTTTTGGGGCAGACGTTGGCAGTGTGGTTTCCAGCGCATTTTACACATCGCGGCGGATGACCACAGTAACGTGAACCATGGCCGAAGCGTTGACATGAAAAGCACTGGGCCGGGCCGGAGGGTTTGAGGGGTTCAACTGAGATTTGCAAGTAAAACAAGTTTGTGAGAAGAAATATGTCCTTAGCAGACGGAATTGCAGCGATGTGCCCTACACATATCGGCATAGGTTTTTCGGGGGTGCCAAAGCGGCGGACGTAGTTCACGGAGTAGCCTAGAGTAACTAACTCGTCTTTTAGTTCGTCAGTAGATATATCGGTCGGAATGCCCTTTAGAACGACTTTTACAGAGCGTTCCTCGGGGAGAGAAAAAGTGTGGAATTCGGTGCCTAGGTGTAACAGAGTCTTTTGGATCAGGCGGAATTGGGTAGTATCGGCTGCCCGTAGGGTTACCCGGTCGCCGGAGGATTTTGCTGATAGAGAGCTCGGTTGCAAGTTTTGGAGTGAATAGATGGTGGGCGCGGCCTTCCGCCAGGAAGCGGAACTCAGTATGATAGGTGGAGGTCTGGAGATTGAAGGAGTTTTGGACGGAACTTGAGCGGTTGAGAGTGAGGTCTTTACTGAGTGTACGGAAGTAAGTGATGATAGGGAGTGGTGGGTTGAGGTGCTAGAGTCGGAGAAAGAGTCTAGGGTTTCAGAGTCGGAAGTACTGGAGTTAGATTGTATTGGGGAAGGGGGAGCTGAACGTTGTTTTGGTATTTTCGGAGGTGGTTTGGTCGAGGGGTCTCCGACCTTCCGCTTGTTGTTCCTGGTCATTTCAGGTGGTGTGGGATGTTGGGGAGGGGATGGGATGCTGTGGCAATGTGAGGGCGCGGCCCCACGACAGCTGTTGACGAAGGGACATTGCTTTCGCGGCGGCTTACTTGTGGGCGCTGGTGCATTGTCGGAGAGCGGTGAAAACGGCTGATTTGTGTTGACGTCGACGTCGCTTCCGCGGCGGCTTGTTTTGGGCGCTGGTGCCCTGTTGAGAGCGGTGAAAACGGCTGTTGGTGAAGATGTCGCTTCCGCGGCGGCTTGCTGTGGGCGCTGGTGCCCTGTTGAGAGCCGTGAGAACGGATGTTTAGGTGACGGTTCGGGTGTGAACCGTGGGCACTAGTAGTGCACATGCCACATGCCACATATAACTTCATTGCATAATTGATTTTGTTATTCATTAATAATTAGTTATAATAAATACAATCTAAAACAATCTTCTATATAATTCCTTGAAACCTATATGGCTATATGACTGAACATTTTAAAATTAAAAACGAAATAAATTAGGTTAATATAATTATTATATTATAAGCCGCCCAGAATATGATGTAGTAGGTATTATTTTTAGTGTTAAGGATTTTAAACGAATACAATATTATGCTAATTACCCCCTGGTACTCTATGATTTTATGCTATATATTTAATATTATGTAAAGTACCTAAGTAGGTAAAATAGCTATGCATTTTTATGTGAAATGTGAATATATTTTATTTGTTAATTGTTAGTTTACAATAAATAGTAAAACAAACTGTGAAAACATGTTTTAATTATTAATTAATGTAGGTAGGTATACAACCAAAACATAGCTCTAGGTACAATAACGAATCTTATATCATAAATTCATGTCATTATAGTAAAATAATGTATAAACAATGTACATAGTAGTCACTAGTTAATTGCATTTATTACATGTAGCCTAACATGTATGCAAACTATTTAAATTATTTATTCGTTTTATAATTTATTTTAGCTTGGAATTTATGGCAATTGACCTGCATACAAATACAATAATTATATTTATATAATATATTTATGCAAAAATATCTTTCATTCAAATGTAAGACGTATTTAGTTGTTGTTTACAACGTTTTATTCGTTAAACTAATAAACCTACTTATTTATTTTTATTTCAGTGTTTCCTTATTATACTCAATTCAATTCAGAGGTAGTCTGCTGTAGTTATGTAAGCATATGTTTTATTGGCATATTAAATTAATAATATAAATTGTATTTAAACTAACCTCTGCCTAGCCGTTTCTACAAAATGATTAAAAGTAGTCGTACTAAAAGGAGAAAAATAAAAGAATGCTTAGACATGATTATTAGTTCAACTGAAAGCTATCCACCTACTTCAAGCTGTTCAAATTTTGTACCACCAGTTTCTAATTCAATTTCTTATGAACATCCTATGGATTTAATGACTTTTAGTTCTTATAATGCTACCGTAAATGTTGAAAGTGAAACTACAAATTATATCGATCCACCTGAAAATGTTATTGAACACGAGCCATTACCCATAGAAGTAGACTTTAAAAATGATTTAGCTTCTTGGGCAGTTGAGAATAAAGTACCTTTGAACGCTGTGAATGGTTTACTTTCGGTATTGAACAAGCATGATTGTTTCTCTGAATTACCAAAAGATAGTAGGACTCTTTTAGGAACTTTCCACAAAAACAATTATCCTATTCGAACAGTAGATCCAGGAATTTATTATCATTTTGGTATTGCTAAAGGTATTCTTAAAAATTATGATGTTACTTCTAATAATGGTAATGATCTTATACAAATTGCTGTAGGTTTTGATGGTTTACCTTTATCCCGGTCTAGTAAAAGTCAGTTTTGGCCAATATTGGCATACATCAGAAATTCATTTACTAGTAAAAAAGTTTTCCCTATAGGTGTTTATCATGGTGATGCTAAGCCAAAAGAAAGTGATGATTTTATATTAGATTTTGTGAATGAAGCTGTAGATTTATCTACTAATGGATTATATATAAATGATAAACACTTTAAAATTATATTTGATCTTTTTTGTTGTGACGTTCCGGCTAAAAGTTTTATTCTTAAAATTAAAGATCATTCTGGGTTCTCTTCATGTACTCGGTGTTAAATTGAAGGGGATAATATAAATAATAGAGTTTGTTTTCCGTTTTGTAAAACTAAGTCAGCAATGAGAAGTGATTATGATTATCGTAATGTTGTAGGTGAAGAATTTCATACATCCCCAAACACATCAGTTATTACTAAAATCCCAAACTTGGATATTACTAAATCATTTATATTGGATTATATGCATTTAACCAATCTTGGAATAATGCGTAAAATGATTTCATTTTGGGTAAATAAAGGTCCATTAAATGTGCGTCTTTCAGGGAGAATGACTAATGAAATCACTGCACGGTTATTAAACATAAGACCTTCTGTACCTTGCGAATTTTCTAGAAAGCCTTGAGAAATCCAAAGTTTTCTCCAATGCAACTGAAATTTCGATTGTTTTTGGTTTATCTAGGGCCTTTTGTTCTAAAGAATATTTTATCCGATGATTGATATGTTAATTTTATGTCCCTAAATGTGGCCATGATAATTTTACTAAGTCCAAACAAAAGTGATTTTACAGAGTATGCTCAACAATTAATTGAATATTTTGTCAGGACATTTGATCAGATTTATGGAAATTACAATGTATCGCACAATGTTCACGGACTTCTTCATATTATTACTGACTATCATAATTTTGGGCCATTAGATCAGTGCAGCTGTTACCCTTTTGAAAATTACATGAAAGTATTAAAATCTGCACTTCGAAAACACGAAAAACCATTACAGCAGTTTATTCATAGGTACGAGGAACAATGCAATTTTCCAAAAAAAAAAATACCAAAAAACTTATTTTGAATAATGATAACTTCATGTTTAAAAAATTGCATTGTAAGGGTCCCTTAACTGAGGATATAAAAAGTCCTCAATATCATCGTTTGCATTTTAGTAATTTTATGTTAAATACTACTGTTGATCGAGATAGTTATCTAATGACTAATTGTGGTAAAATAGTAAAATGTATGAACGTTGCTAATAAACGAGTTAATAATAAGAAAGTCCCAGTTATTGTAGGTAAATATTTTATTAACAAAAGTCCGGCTTATATTAATCCCCTTTCGTCTGACTTGTTATATATTTATAAAGTTGAAAACATTTCAAATGATTTAATTATTTTAAATATAAATACTATTAAATATAAAATGATGGTCATTAATATCGAAAAAGAAATTATTGCCATACCAATATTTCATTCAGACTGTTAATTTTACATTATTTCAGTTAAGACTTTTAATAATCTGTTAATATTTTAGGTGTTAAGGTTAACTATACTATTTAAGTCATATTTATTAATTAAATTGAAAAAAAATCAAATTAAAATTGACATATAAAATTAATAATTATCAATTATAACTATTATTATTGATAACTTTAGGTAAGTAATACATGAGTTCATTAAATTTGTTTTTTTTTGTTAATATTTCCGTTATTAGTTTCATTGACTTTAGATTATACAAATATACTATAATCTAAAATCAATGTTAGTACCTATTACCGAATCAATCTTAAAAAAATGTTATCAATATATTTTTATATAGCTTATATATTTTTAGTCCGAGAAATAGAATATTTTTTTTTTACATAAATATATATTTCAAATATTTAGAGTAATAATGTAATCAAAAGGGTTTTCAATAAATAATTATTAATTATTTACAATTGTTTTATAACTCTTAATATTTTATCCAACAGTCTTAAAGTAAACCTACATAATTGTTATAATGACTAGTTATACTCTTAAATGATATTTAACGTTATAGTACGGTATGGTTAGTTTAATATATGATTTAGACAATGTGCTAAAACAAATAATTTTAATATCAAGCAGATTTTGTTGTTCTATAAATATATTTGTATTGTATACCTTTAGTATGTGGGTCGTTGTCCATTTTCTAAAAGACAACAGTGTCGAGGCAGTGCCAAGTACATGGTATAATGACGGTACTCGTGCGTGGCCGAATAAGACAATAAATGCAGTTCGGGCTATTCAAAAAAGGACTCTACCAAATAAATTGGAATTTCAGTGGTTAAATGCTAGACAACTTGGTTCAATGTCTGGTAATTATATTCTGTATTATAATATATATCACAACTAAATTTTATTCCACTTTTAATTTAAAAATAATTGTGATTTTGAAAGTTAGATAGAGTAACCAAATTTTTATTTTGTATATTTACAACTCTTTCCTGTCAAACTTCCTTAATACCAAAAGTATATACTATAGTTCACATAATATTATAATTTTATATTTTATTTATGTGTAAATAGATTCATATGAAGAAGCAAAACGTAAAGCAAATATTGCTCAGGAATCATCTGATGTATCTGAAATAGAACAAAAAGAAACGCGTAAAAAAAGAGCTAAAGTGGTAGAAAGTTCACCTTCGCCTTCTCCTAAAAAATCTAAATCTAAATCAAAAGAAATACGTTTTATAAAACCGCCTGAAGTATTTAGTTTGTATTATCTAATACCAATACTAAAATACGATCAATATAATATAAATACTTAATTTGATTTAATTTTTAGTAAATAAAAATGCGAATCCTTACGATGAAGACTCTCTAAGCATTAACTCGTTTGATGATAACGAGAAGGATCCAGATTTTATTCTTAAATGTAAGTGTGTATGATTGATTTCTAGAAGAATTATACCTATTTATATATATTTTATATATAAATTATTATCTTTTAATTGTTATCTTTTAGCTCCAGATATTTGTGAAATTACTTCACCAATTGGAAAGATTAGAGTAGAATCAATGTCTGATTCAAAACTGATGAAAAACAAAGAAACTGAGTTAAGTTCTAATTCACAATCTATGAATGACGTGCATAAATATTTTACATCATCCACTAGTAAGCCTCAAAAATTGAATGCTCGAAAAAACCTTTTCAATGACTCACAACTGTACAGTAAGATTCTTGTCTAACGTGTTTAATTTAAAATCAAATATTTACAGGCTTTATTAATTATATTATATTAAAACTATTCATCAAGTTTTTGAAATTATTTGATCTTCATAGGTTCACGTTCACCAATTAAGTTGCAAAAAAATATGGATATATCATCTTCTTATAAAAATACTAATTTAGAGTTTTCTTCCGATTTCAGTTTGAGTCAAGGTAATAAATTACATTCTATTTTGTCTACTAAATGTTATAATAATTACTATTATTTTTTTACATTTAATAGGAACAAGTTATCAATTAAAAAGATTTGAAAATACAGTCAAAAATAACAATTTAGATGGTTTGATGTCTACTGCAGGTATAACCATATTATTTAAAATTATTTATGAATAATATTGTAATTATTACCTTTTATAATGTTACAATTTGCCTGGAGAAATAAGTAAAAAAAAATTTATTTTTCATTTTATTTTAGATTTTCAAAAACATGTATTATCTGTATTGACACACCTCAGGTTTGAAGTTAATAATTTGGCATCTACTCAACAAATAATGGCAACAAACATTGAAGTATTGATGGGAAATGCAAATAAAACCCTTATAAGTTCATCCTTTAATAATGATATAAACAATTTTGATATAAATGACATCTTCCCAATTGAAATGGATGGTGCTCTTGAAGAATTTAAATCAAAAATTAAAACCAATTAAAATTATTTTAGGCGTGTACTGGTAAGATTGTCCTTTTTTAATGTAATTATATTGTGCCATTAATTTACTCCTATTTGTATGATTTTTTTTAATGCAACATTTGTAATAATATAGTATATTTTATTATATTTTTAGATTCGTAAATTATGTCTACTAGTTACAACTAAAAGTTTGGGAGATTCAGTTAGGCGTATCATGTCAAGGATGTTTCATGATAATATTCTACAGCAGTATTCAACTTATGGATTTAAAAAGAAAAAACGTTTTGCTTCATTGGAATCATACCGTATTGTTATTGGTAAGTAAAAGATATAGCTATTAACTATTGCAAATTTAAAATACTTGTAATTTTTTTCTTTTTAATATTTTAAAGTTTTTGCTAAGAACCTTTTCCCAAAATGTTTTGTATAATTTTATCAATAAAATCCAATTTCCTGTGCTGAGGTATTCGTCATGGTTACAATTACTCTTATTATGAGTTGAAGGCCAAGGCCTAACCGACTGTGGATCCTTTAAAAATAAAATAATTATAATAACAATAATATTTATTTTGTTACTTATTGTTTCAGATATACTACGTACTCACGTTAAGTATGAAATGACGCCTGAAAAAGACATCGATCATGAAATAGGTCCCTGGTTGGCAAATGCTCATTTCAGAATTAAGAAAAAAACAATGAAGGATTGAAATAAAAACAATTAATTATTTATAATAAAAAATGATTTTGGTATTTTGTTATGTTAAAGAAATAATAATTATTAACATTGTCATTACTATAATTCGTAATAGTTCTCATAATACACTAGATTATATTGTTTAAAAGTCGATAAATAATAATTAGCTATTAATTTCATTTTTGTTTTTTAACCTTTAATTATTTGGTTTTTTAACTATTTTAAAATAAATAAAAATTACCTATTATAATAATGTTGTCATAATCTTATTTCAAAATAATATTTTTACTATTATGTTGTCATAATCTTACATTTAACGTTATTACATATAACATTATTACAATAATGTTACAGTAACATTCTGATAGTAAAAACATATTGTTGTCATTTTTACTATAATTATTATAGTAACATTGATTTGGTGGCCAAAAAATTATGCAGAAATGTTCTGATAATATTGCTTAAATCAAAATTGACGCTGTCCCGCGCAAAATCTGTTTGAATTCAAACAGCCTTTGCGCGGAAGCCGCGCCGTGGCTTCTCAATCAAACCGCCAATCGACGACGGACGACGCCGGCGTGCGACACGCGCGCCTGGAACCGTCGGCCGGCCGTCCGGCGAACCGGATTGTTAAGGCGCGCTCTCTCGTCTCCTCGACACCGACCGGTACACACCCGAACCAACACACACGTTCCGTGTATTTCGCTACCGGTTCCCAATATATGTATTGAATAATCTCTTTTGTTTTTAACAGTAAAGAATTAAGTTACACCTCAGTGCATCGTTCGTTTGTTCTTTTTGTTTTACTAATTTTTTCTTTATTATCCCGTTTGTTGTTTCGACCCGATGTTGAAGAATTTGCAGTAACTAGACTTAACATAGCAGACATATTAATATTTCGGTTTTGTCCTCCACATGTGTCAGAGTAAGTGCTATATCGTTTGATCCTCTTCCGCCGATTGCCTCGTGCCACATATAACATTCAGTACCTTCATTTTCCCCACAATCTCTAATGGTCAAATTAAATGTTGACAAAAGCCTTTTGTAGAATGAAACATTTGTAGATAGAGCCGGAGTATCTAGAACTTGTTCTAAATCAAATACTAAAACTCTAGTATTGTTAGAAGCTAAAGCATTGATTGTATCTTCTTTTTTTTGCATGTAACCTAAATCTGCAAGTTCCTTATGTGCTTCATGTTGTTTCTGGAGTAATATCTGTTGCTCTTTTACCTTGCATTGTTTAATTTGTAATACAAAAGTATCACATGTCTTACATGTGTCTAGTTTTGGTTTTTTAAATTTATAACCAGTTTTATTAAACACCTCTTTAAACATGTCGTATGATCCACATTTGTTACCATTTTTCTCTATTTTATATTCTTCATACAACTTTTTAATATTTAAATGACATTGAAGATAGAATTTATTTGAGTGCCTACGAGAATAGTGGCTTAGGTATTTTGGATATTTTTCAATGTGATTTCTCATGTCTTCTTTTTCTTTTGGCATTTTATTATGTGGTTCATGATGACCACGATTATCAAGTAGTTGTAATGAACCTGAATCGCTACATTTTTTTTTCTGTACAATTAAATCAATTTTACCTCGAGTTACTCCATACACACTTTGAAACATTTTTTTTACATACTGTTTTATTTTGATTTCCTATTTGTATCACATATGAAGCAGTAACTAAACGATCATGATTTATTCCATATTGACTTCTTCCTAGTCTTGTGGTTTTTTTGTCAGCCAATGTTATTCCACAAGACATAACTTGATACTGAATTTCCTCTTCTAACTTATAAAAACTTTCAAATATTATTTTTTGTATATCTGGAGGGCAGAAAACATCACATTTCATGCGACAGAAATTAACTAATTCCTTAAATATCTTTTGAGGAATTGTTCATCCTTTGCGGTTAGGATAGGTACTCCATTCCATGATCTTTCAAATATTTCTGATCCGTTCTTTTTTTCTTAGTTGGTATTTCATCTTCATGGATGTCCATTTCATCAATAACTACAGTATTAATACCATTGTTGGTTTCTTGTGGTACAACTAATTAAAAAAAAAATAATTAGAGAAAACAATTAAAATATATTATGTACTTTCAATTTTGTTAAAGTATATAATTTTATTTGTGGAGGTACCTACCTAAATTACTAACTGATGGTTGTTCTTCACACAAAATAATATTCATATCATGGATGTCCATTTCATCAATAACTTCAGTATTAATACCATTGTTGATTTCTACAACTAATTTAAAAGTAATAATAATAATTAGAGAAAACAATCAGATATTATGTACTTTTAAATGTGTTAAAATATAAAATTTTATTTGTGGAGGTACCTACCTAAATTACTAATTGGTGGTTGTTCTTCACACAATATATTACTAATATCATGGATATCTATTTCATAAACACTCTCAGCACTAGGGACATTATTTTGACATACTAAAATAAAGTAGAATTAGAATTAGTATAATAAAATAATTTACACAGAAGTAGAAAACAAACATTACCAGGTTCAGACTCTGAATCTGAGCATATGAGGTCTGTATTAATTATTTCATAGGTTTTGTCCAAAATATCATCATCATCAATCTCATCAGTGTTAGAATTAGTAGTAATTGGTAATGCATTGTTCTAAAACAAATTTTATTGCAATTCGTTAAAAATAATTAGAATAACAGCTTCCATTTTTATATTTTACCTGATGCGATTCATTTTGTGTTCATGTTGTAACGATTCGCAGTTTACTGACTCGTCATTTATGTCGCACTCGGCGAATTTGTTTAGGTAAACAGAAAACAGGAACGTAGAGTACGAGCATATATATTATTGGCATAGCAGCCAGTCGAGTTTTGATCCGTGAAATAGAGGCTATACATCAGTCTACTATAGTCATATTTACAATATTATTAAACGTAATTAATTGATTAACTTTAAGTATATAATAACGTACCTAATAGTTAAATTATAATAACTCAGTATTGTTCAACTCGTACTCCGCTACTCCTGTTATCTTCAATATACTACCCTTAAGAACAGGGTTACTCAGGTGATAGTGTATTTTATTGGTTATAATATTATAATTACTTTAGTCTTGAATAAAACATTGTATTCGTTGCTATATCGTGTTAATTGTGTTTAGTTTATGAACGCAGGTCATAAGTTTCTAGAACCTGTAAAATATAACTCAGAAAACTTTATTTATATCAATTCAACAACCCGGATCTAAGGACCGGTTCGTGTAGTGGGAATAGCCAACCAACTACTCCTTAACTGGATAGAGTTAGGTATAAATATCGACAGCCACTGGGTTTGACAAACCGAGGAGGTGTGTTGCAATGTACTTTGTGATGATCATTGTTATAATATACTGGCTTTACTGTTTTTCTCAGTGAATGCCTCTGCAATAATATTATTATATGTTAACTTACATTAATATTATTAAAATCTAAAAATAGCTTGATTTATACTGTACTTACTACAGGGTTTTCAATTTTTGAATTAGTGTTGGTTGTGGTTACTTTTTTTTTTAAAGATTTTAAAAAAGATGATCTAGAGTTGAACATTGTAAAGTAACACAGCTACGCCAGTAAAAAAAATAAAATAGTAAACACTAAACACTAAACGTCAAACTATAGTAACTAATAACTTTACTATATAAATCTAATATTATATTATTATATAATAAAATCTAAAATAACTTTATAATATTTAATATTAACAAAATCATGTAGGTCACATAACTGACCAAACAGCCAAGGTACATAATATGACAATTATTTATCAAGTTGCCAGCATGTATCTATATATATAAAAATGGAGACAAAAATTCGAAATTGCATCAGTTGAGAACGGCTGGGCCGATTTTGCTGAAATTTTTTTTAAATGATAGAGAATGTCGGGGAGCGGCTTTATAGCATAAATTATGGACCTAACTCATGTGAGTTTGAGATTTAGAGACAAAAACTGAGTTACACCGGTGGCGCCCTCTAGCAGATAAAAATAAAAAATATAAATATAATATAAATAATAATAATAATTGAAAGTGTTTGTAAGCGAACTCCTACTAAACGGCTTCAACGATTTTGATGAAATTTTTTGTGTGTGCTTGAATGCGCCCTTGAATGGTTTAGATTCATAATCGGACCCGGTAGGCCTATTTCGGGGAGGTGCTGAAACGGGAATGTTGAGATTTACGGTGGATATTTTGGTTTATAAATGGTTGCCATGGGTTTTAAAGCTATTATAATAATAATTATTCGTTGCCGTCATTCGTTAACACCATACACCGAATGTTAAATAACTAAATAACGAATTGAACAACGTTTGAGTCATATAGAATTTGTACATTTAACGGGAAACGAAGTGCACGGGATCAGCTAGTTTTATCAAAAATATGACTTAAGAACTATTTAAAAGCCATATCAAGTTTTGCCACTTTGTATATTTTCAAATAATGACATATCAACTATTCAAAAGACATATCAAGTTTTGCCGCCACGTATATTTTGATATAATGACTTATCAGGTTTGGTCCTTGCACATAGATGGCACAACACACATGAGAGACATCCCATATTTTGCCACCACTTAAAATATACAATTTCTAAACTATTTACACGATAATCCAAAAATTGACAAAAGTGACATATCAGCTTTTGCCATCATTCCACACTAATATTTTTTGATCTTGATCTTATAAAATATTCAATTATCATGTCTTGTTTTTCTTTTAGAAAATCATCAAAAATCACTAAACTATTTGGTTCACAATCATCTACGGATATTATTTCATCATTAGAAAAATGTGTGGTTATAAAAGGTATATCATCAAATATTTTTTTTATATTTTTATAGACTGGTTGATCAATATTTTTTGTAAAAATATATAGATTTTTATAAGGAATCCAATAATTTATAATCAGATTATACAACAAGGTTGTTTTACCACAACCAGATGGTCCTATAATTAAAACACGTGAAGGTAATTCAAATAAAGATTTTTTTTTATTTTCATCTTTAATAAAACATTTTATTATTACATTATCCATTTATTAAAAAAAAATATATATATTTATATTATATTATATTATGTAATATATATTTGGTAATATAAATAAGAAATGGAAAATATTTTAAATATGTATGATAATTATATAATAAATAGTCAATATGAAAGTTATATACCTCAAATTACAACAGAATTGAATAAACCAAACCGAAGTACAATAGTTATAGTAGATTTTAAAGATAAAGTCCATTGTTTGGTGTTGTTTATTTTCAAAAAAACAGATTAGACAATCAACAAAGTAATGCTTGTTTCTTTGATCATTGTGATGTTGTAAATTATTCTTTTGAAGTAAATGGAAAAATATATCCCAATGAATTACAAAATCAAGATTTTAATAATATAAAATATTGTCAATCATATGAAGATCATATGAGTCATAAAAAAACCTATTATAAATCACATGAAGAAAATCCATTAATGTATTTAGATAAATTACAATTTAGACAAAAGTGGCCATTTTTTGTTGTTAACATGACTAGACACCACAATCAAATTGCAATCTCCAACTGTACAGTAACTTTAAACTTAGATTTCAGTCAAAATTTACCTGATAAAACAATTTGTTATATTTGTTTAATTTCTAGTTCAGTGTATACGTTTGAAAGAGGAATAGTTGATGAAAGTTTTTAAATATATTAAAATTAAGTAAAAAATCGTTCCCTACTTTAATTTTTCAAGATATTTTATCTTGAAAAAATTAACAAAAAATCAAAAGCTTTTCATATTTATTTTTTTATTAGATCAAGAACACCAATAAATTCTCCATCAAAATTAATATTACCTTTCAAATCTAAAATATTAATTGTAATTTGTTGAAACCGATTTTTACTCACTGGTCTATATATAATTTTAAAAGGTTTATTCAAAACATTATAAGAAATATATTGAAATAAAAATAAAACTTCATCATAATGAGATACCTCATCAATATAATGTGTAGTAGATTCTTCAATTATATTACAATGTACTTCTAATATTTTGTTGTTATTATTTAATGATGAATTTTCTCCATAATGTGTATATCAATCCCTCCTAAACTTAAATTTAAATCTTTATCAAATGAAAAATAATCTTTTGTTGTTATTTTAATGTAATTACCATTATTTTCCAACTTCATAATCGAATTGAATAATTTCCTTTTAATTCAGTTTACTATTTCATTAGAAATAATAACTTTAATATTTTTTATAAAACCTTGTGTATAAATCATTGCTTTGTTTGTACCTATTATTTTATAAAAAATATCTGGTGCTAGTTCGTATGAAACAGGCCATATTTTATTTATAGGGTTTGCTTGTGTTATAAAATCTCCAATATAATCAAAACCTAAACATTTTGATAAATATTCATCAAAACATAGACCGATTGAGGCTGAAATATTTATAAAACCATCAATAATTTAAGACTTATTTTAAGAAAATCGTAACAATTCCATAAATTTTCAATTTCATTTATTGTGTATATTCCCTTAAAAATTGTACCTATACATTGGTATTTCACCATTTCTACATAATCTAAATCTACAATCTTGTTCTATATTTAT